GTCCAAAGAGCAGACAATATGTCTTAGAGAATGCAACCAGGGTGTTCTTTTGGAGCCAAGGATGATGACGCTTCATCTCACATACTTTTAGGAGGAATTAGGCCAGTCCTTGGAAAACTACATCATGCTTGAAAAGTGGAGGTTCAGCAAAAGAGGGGATGACCATAACAGTGGGCTCAAGTATATCAGAGATGGTAAGGATGGCACAGGATAGAGACAGGTTCATAAGATTGTTCATAAGATTGCTATAAGTTGTGGTCAGCTCTATGTGTTGTGCTAAATATGTTATAAACACAGTTGATATTCACAGTAGTTTTTTAGGGTGTTGTAGTGGGTTTATTGTTCAAAATTACTTTCCTGGGCTATTGCCTTTTATTTTTGCCACCAGTCTGAGTGTTGTTGTCAGGTACTGTCAAGTTGAGTATGACTCTTAGTGACCCCATGAAGAAAAGATCTGAATCCTCTTCTAGCCTGTGCAATCCTCACACTTTCTGATATACAAGAGCCCATTGTGGCAATCACTGTGTCAGTCCACTTGGTTGAGGGTCTTCCTGTCCTTCGCAGACCCTCCACCCTTTCCAACCCTCTCCAAGGAGTAGCACCTCCTGTCAACATGCCCAAAGTATGTGAGGTGAAGCCTCATCTTTCTTGCCTCCACAGAGCACTCTGACTGCACCTTCTCCAAGACATATCTGTTCATTCTCCTGGTCGTCCATGGGATGTTCACTGCTCTTCTTTACCACAGCTCAAAGGCATCAATTCTTTTTCTGTCATACTTATTCATAATCTAGGTCTCAAATGCACAGCAAGTGATCCTGCAAAGAGAACATGTAGACCTCTGATGCGGGGATGATTGGTAAGTTTGAGTTTAAATTGAGTAGGTTTATCTGCAGAAAAGGGGAATCTCACTACCAGCCAGAAGGAGGAGTAGAGAATGCCGTGCACGTCCTTAAGGCCAGAAATTCTTGTGGCAGGCAGACCGGGACCCAGATGAGAATAGCCATGGTGCAGAACGAGAGACCAGTGTGTGGAGCTCGCCTGAGACCCTCCCTACAGGGCCACAGCCAGCGCCTTCAGCCAAGCGTGCTGAAAGGTTGAGGAAGGTGCTGTAATTGGCAGGACTAAGAGCTTTCTAACGTTGACCTAAAGCTGAGAAGCTAAAGGTCAGAGGGCCTGTGAGCGCTCCTGAGAAGCTGCCCTGACTGAAAAACAGCAGCCGGTTTCCATTTTGAATTATAACCACTAATTTACCATAATAACCGCTAAGATCGTGACTGTAATTCTGTGAGTTAAGTGGGTCGTTGCAATGAATTATTGGACCTTGTAATTGAGCAGTGAGAGCCCTGGAAGGGGTGTCTGGTGTTAGCACTCATAGAAGTGGGTTCGGGGTGCAGGGTAGGGCACGGGTCTGACCTCATGGATTTCAGGTTTGTGCAGTGGAGGAGACCACTCCCTCTTGTGGAGTTAGGGATTGGACACTGCCCCACACCCCCTGTATGCTGTTTACATGAGGTGTGACCTCAGTTATCCCCATTTGACAAAGGAGGCTTAAAGAAGTAAGGAATTTGTACAAGATCACCCAGTTGATGAGTGGTAAAGGTAGAATTGAACACAGGAAGTCTGTCCCTAACCTAGTGCCCTTACCAGGTGCACAGCAGGGCAGCCTGTGTGGACTTTTGGAAGACAAAGGTCAGGACACTGCTCTAGTGTCTATACAAGAGGTACCAGCAGGAGTGGTTGGAGACGCTGGTGGTGGGGCCTCCTTTGCACACCAGCCGGGGTGGAAGGTGGGCACACCTCAGCCCTGGCGCCCCATCTACAGAGCATCTTGTGTGTCACCATTCACATAACACTGTTCTCAGTACCAGGTGGATCCCGGCAGCGTGGCCAACGGCATTCCTCCATGCACTTTGCATGAAAAGATGAGATTTGATGTTTGGAGGGGTGGGGAGCATGAATGCTTTCTAAAATGCATCACTTTCCTGCTTCTCCCTCAGTGTATGTTTTAGGAAGTCACCCGGGTATTGAGACCATTCCCAAGTCTGCACTGCTCTCAGAAAAGGAGTCTTACTTTCCTCCCTCACTCTCTGACATTTGCCCAGCCTGGCTGGTAAAGCCATGGTGTCCTGAGCAGCACAAACATCGCGTGTGTTTTGTAAACACTGTTCTGGGATCGTTCACTTTCACTGGGTTTTTCAACCCCAGGTGGGAGCCCAGGCAGCCCTTGTGGGGAGTTTTGTCGGGCGGAATCTGGCTCCTTGCTGTACCCATGCTCAAGCCTCCCTGCCAAATGGCTGGGGGGGAACAGGATCTCCCGTGACCATGACAGACCCTGTCCAACCACAATTACCGGGTTTCAATTCCATCCCACTTGTTCAGACGTCATCCATTCCTCTGTGTGACCACAGACTGCGTGGCCGGTGGGGCCAGCTCCAAAACAAGACGCCTGGGATTCATGACAGTTCTTTGTATTTTCTTTTGTTACCTCAGACCTGGCCTCCAAGATGCTGGTATTGAATCCAGCGTATACCGTTGGCGACTTGGTGCGAGAACATGTCACCCTAACTCAGAAGTGGGCTGGCAAGTGCTTGACAGCCAGTTGTCCGGGGAGAGCCTTGGTCTGTAGCATTAGTGATTCCTGAGGGAAATACTCGTCAGCTGTTGATGTGATGTCACTGGACAGAATTAGGAACAGATTCACACCTTAACATGGTATTTTCACCAGAGAGAGTAAATCAATACAGATAACCTCAAAAGCAGAGAAAAATACAGTTGAATAATTAGAAAGTGGTAATTTGTGAACGTTTAGTATCTTTGTTGTTAAAATTCATTTTATTAAAAGCTTATTTACTTTTTTATAATGGACACGTTTCTTTCTAACTTACAGATTTCCCGAAAAGTTAAGTTACCAAAAAAAAAAAAAAAGTAATCTCTTATAAGCTGCTGTGAACTGGCCCCGGCACACCCCTGCTCCTGCTCTTCCTCCAATTAATAAAAAACACAGCTAACTGATGACATCTCACAACAACAGCGACTGAGTTTAGGGATAGAGACTGGGCAGGGTGGGAGGGGCTAGAGAGCTATGAAGAAAGAGTTCCAGCACCAGGGAGAGGGGTGTGCATTTGGATCCAGCAGCTCATCCTCTGCTTATCTGACCACCCCCGCACCCCACCCCGTGCTGACCCACGGGCTGAAGAGCATTCTGACTCGTATTGTTAGATGTTGTTGAGTTGACTTACAGCTCACAGTGGCCCTCTGAACACAGCTGAGCTTTCCCCTGCCCTGCGCTATCCCCTCATCCTGATATGTTCAGGCCCACGTTACAGTCACTGTGTCTGGCCATCTTGTCGAGCACCTTCCCTTTCGCTGACCTTCCGTCTTTTCCAGCATGAGGTCTTTTTCCACAGACTGGGTGCTCCTGACAACATGCCTAGAATATGTGAGACGAAAGTAGTTTCACCATCCTCGCCTCTAAGGAGCACCCTGGTTGCCCTTCCTCCAAGGCGTTCCTGTTTGTTCTTTTGGCAGTTCCTAGGATGTTCAGGGCTCTCCTCCGAAACCAGAGCTCAAAGGCATCCATGCTGCTTCTGTCATTCTATTTCTAACTCATTATAAAGCATAAATGTGTGCTCTCCTGTGTTTGAAGACTTCCTCAGCTCAAAACTTCTGCAGGTTTGTTGAACATCCCTTCATCACAGAGACGTTCACCAGCCCTCAGTCTAGAAAGCATCCTTACCACAGGCTTCCTCTGAAGTACTCCACACACACATAGTAATTACCTGTGTTCATTCTTACACATGGTTTTATCTTTCCCCTCAACTGTAACCCCAGGAAGGTTGTATCAGCCCTCATTCTCCCTTAAACACCAGTGTCTGATGGACAGCCAGGTCACCGCAAGTGCAAGTGCTGAGGAGATGGGGAAGAGCCAAGGAGAGTGGGCAAACAGAGGGACAGGAAAATGAGGATGGGGGACAGGCCACAGATGCACTGATGTTCAGGTCTGCCTGAGAGGGACCAAGGCTCTGGGACTGTGTTGGGTCCTGTGGTCCTTCCAGCCATGATGTGAGTGAGGATACACTCCCCACCAGTGGTGGAGTACCTTATATGTTGGACTGTGAACTGAGAGGCTATTAGTTCAAGGTGCTCTAGGGAAGAAAGCTCGGCAGCCTTCTCCAGCTGAGGTTTACGACCTCAGAAACATGATGGAAGGCGCCGTCAGTCAGAACTGACGTGATGACAGTGGGGTTGGACTTTTCCGTTTTAGTAAGAGAACCCCAATTTAAATGAGTAACAGATAAAACCATTACTTCATGTGAGGAAGGGTGGCTCCAGGTTGTGTTTCCCAGCAGCTCGACATTATCTGAGACCCCATTTCTTTCTCTGTCCTTCTGCCTCCTTGCGTGTAAGCCCTGCCCTCAGACAGAGGTGCAGGCAGTGTCAAGACCCAGCAGTGTCCTCCAGAAGTCTCCTCTGCAGCTCTTTGGAGGTTTAAAGAACCTTTTCTGGAGACCAGGTACCCTCAGGCGCCCTGCTTTCCTAATCCAGGCCACTCACAGTGTGGTCCCCAGACCAATGTCAGCCCCACCTTGTTAGAAGCTCAGCTGCTGGTGTGAACTAACACTCTTCCCTCCCAGCCCTCTGAGGCTTTCCTGCCTGATGAAGTTGGGGATAGCCCCACAACTGGACTGCAGGTAAACGTGTCATGATCTACCGTCTTTCCCAGGAGGAACCTTGGTAGTGCAGTGTGATAGGTGTTGGACTGCTAACTGAAAGGTGGAAAGGTTGTGCTTTGAACCCACCGGCTGCTCCCCTGGAGCGAGAGTGTCCTGTCACTAAGGTTTACAGCCCGAGAACCCTGAAGGGCTTTCCCAGGACCACGTCGACTCCATGGCCATGGGCCTGGCCTTTGACCAGAGTGTGTGTGGGGTGGACCGGGCTTCCCGTCCTGTGATGGGGACCCACAGTGACCCTCCTGCCTATATTGTCCCCCCTTCCCTCAGCTACCAGAGGTTCGCTGACTGTTACAAGCGCTTCTACCGGCTGCAGCCCGAGATGACACAGCGGATCTACGACAAGTTTGTAACTCAGCTGCAGACCTCTGTCTGGGTGAGTTGGCAGTAGAGGCCAGTCAGACACGTCACTGGACAGATGCTAGCAGGGCTGAAGGCTGAGGGGAGGACTGCCGCTGCTGCCCTCTGTATCCCCAGCCCTCGAGCCGTTCTCCACACCGAGAGGCGGCAGCCTCGATCACCTCCTGATGTGGAGATCCTAACTGTCCCCTTTGTGAATTGTCGTCTGTGGTAGTCATGTATTTATATGTGTCTGCCCCTCTAGATAAGAGAGTTCAGCATGGACAAGACTGAGTCCTACTCCTCTGTGTCCAGCACCTGCTCCACACCTGGCACAGAGGAGGCACCAGTAAACTGTCAGGGGACCTGCAGAGCACGAGAAAGAAGGAACATGATCCCACATCTCTAAGTAGCTATGATCTCTTGGGAGTTAACTTGGACACTGTGATCCTCCAGGATGGTCTCCCTAAGTGGACCACATTGTGGCATCAGGGCTGCCAGTGGCAAAGCAGCCCAGCAGCAAAGCTGAGAGAATGTAGTGGCAGAAGGAGAAGAGGAGGGAGTAGAGAGGCTCAGGAATGGACCACTTTGACTCCCCATGAAGGAGGATGGGAGTGGCCAGGCAGCCTGGGATGTAAGAGCTGGGCCTGAGCGCCAGGGCTGCAGAGTGGGCAGCTCAGACGGGCAGTGGGAAGAGGATAGTCACAGACTCCTTCTAAACGTTGACCACTTTGTGCTTTATTTTCTTCATTACAGTCACATGGTATTGAGAGGTTTGGAAGAACAAGTGAGACAGAACTGAAACTAGCAGAAGTCTTAACCAAGCACTCTCATGTAGCCTGTTTCTACTCTGGGCTTATCTAGTATCACGACAGCCCTTACTCCTTTCTCTTCAGGAGGAAATCTCTGAAATCAAACAGGAGGGGAATCTGGAAGCTGTCATGAATGCCCTGGACAATATTGTGGAAGAAGGCAAAGACCGAAAGGGGCCAGCGTGGTGAGATGGGGCCTGGAGAGAGGCCTTTGGGCAGTGCTGAGGGGATGTCAGAGAGGGACAGGTGGACAGGACAGAAACACAGCAGTCACCACAGATGGCCAAAATACCTTCTGACCCTTGGCGGAGAGCACTGTAATCATGCATGTGGTGCTGTTCAGAGTGAGGAAACAGTGTTTGGTGGCAGGACTGTGAAGCCTTCCATGAAACAGAAGCGGAACAGTAGAGCTTGAGATCATCTGGAGAGGAGGCTGGCCCGGCAGCTGGCTTTTGTCTTTATTATTATTTGTTCTCTCAACAATAGAGAGCACCTGGTGTGATTTACCCAGCACTGTGATGCCAGAGGTTCAGCAGTGAACAGACAGATCAAATGCCTCCTGTCCCAAAGCCAGCAATTCCGGGGCAGCCGAAGGGTGTTGTCTGGGCAGTTCTGGGAGAAGTGGGATGGGGAGGGGAACAGGGAAGAGGCCCTGGGGGCACTAGCCTTTTACAGCCCTCAGCCTGAACAGAATCCTAGACAGAGGAAGTAGACATTTTGAGTATTTTGTAATTCTTCTATGCTTTCCGACCTTACTACTTAAGAGAATTCCATTTTATAACTTAGAATATTTTTTCCTAAAAACTTACCCCACCCTCTGTGCCTTAGGACCTGCCTGGTCTCGCTGGGATTGTCCCCTGAACTGTGTATTTTTTTTATCATCCCATATCAGCCACTGACATCCTGGGGTCTCCCGCACTGGGCTTCTCCCAGGCAGCCAGCCTCCAGTCTTTAGCTCCTAGTCTTGTAGGGAGAGCAGGCTAGAAGGTGGCCTCTCACTCTGGAGCATTAGAGATGGAGAGAGGGCTGTGGCAGAGAAGAGAGTGGGGTGAGTTTGGGCTGAGTGAGAAAGGGAGATGGACCCTTGGGGCACTGAGGCTCAGGACAGGCTCTCAGGGGAGGAGTCTGTGTAGGGCTTGGGAGATGAGGGGACCCACAGGCTGTCCTTGAAAGGGGCTGAATGGCCTTGGAAGTAGCACCCTCACCCCATGTGGCCCTGCAGGCGGCCGAGCGGGATACCGGAGGCAGACCTGCGCAGCGCCATGGTGCCCTACTTCCTGCAGCAGCGGGATGCCCTGCAGCACCGCGTACAGAAGCAGAAGGCCGAGAACCAGCAGCTGGCAGACGCCGTGCTAGCTGGGCGCAGGCAGGTGGAGGAGCTGCGGCTGCAGGTCCAGGCCCAGCAGCAGGCCTGGCAGGTCAGTGCCCAGACCCCAGCCCCGCTTCTCGTCCTATAGGGAGTCGGGGAGCCTGGCCTCATCATGCCTCTGTGGACATGTGCAGTGAGTGGGCCTCTGATCCTCTGCACCCACTGTGGTCAACAGTGCAGGCATGTGTCCCCTGCTGTATCAATGGGGTAGGTGAGGGGCTGTCACAGATGAGAAGACAGACCATGTGAGGGCAGGTGACCCGCCTGGTAACAGCCCATCTGGGTCAGAATTAGGAGTGACAACCCTGTGGGGTCCAGTGGTCTTTCCCTCTGCTCCATGTGACCATTGCCCACGTTGTTGGAACACCTACACTGGCACGACCTTCAGAGCCTCTGACACATCTGAAATCATCCTCTCTGTCTGTCCTTTGAGGGTAAAGTCACTGTGGCCAAATCAGGGGAAGAGGCTGACCAAGCTGACACAGGAAGCAGGCAAAGCTGGAAAGTGACGAGAGACATTTTCCTATTGACTGAAAATGTGGTTTCCAGCAGGCTTGAGTTAGGGCAGCACTGCTCCCCCATATTCACGTAGAGATCCAGCTTAACCTACCAGCAGCCCTTCTGGGTAGAGAGTCCTGTTACCAATGAAAGCAGCTTTTCAGATCTGTGGCCCCAGATGCTCCTGGTCTTCCCAAGACCCACCAACTGCTACATCCAGGCCCTGCTCCAGCCTCTGCCATGAGGACATGATGCCAGAAGGCTAGTGGTCCACTCTACTCTGTCCCTGTCACCACCTCCTAGCTTCCCCACTTACCACACTGATCCTGGGGGCTGGGCAACAGGTATGAAAATGCTTATGACCAAGACCTTCAGTTCACAGCTCAGTGCTGTCTCATGGGGCAGGTCCCACCGGTCAGAACTCTGTCCTTGGCACCCCTGGAACTGCCTGCCCATGTTCTTGGGCAAAATGCTGCACCTCTTATATGCGCGCCCCACCCCCATGCACCCCATCAAGACCTCACTCCTTCCCAGAGCCCTGGTGCTCCTTTCTCCAGATCTGCCAGAGGGCATCTCCCTGGCCTTTCCAGCTCTGACATGCAGCGCTTTGATTTTAGAAGAAAAAGCCATCCTACACCTAGCTAGCCAGGAAAACGACTGTTTTAAGCTGCTCATTTACACTGATGGGGTGAGTTCCCTCAAGAGCTTCATGTGGGAGCTTCATAGAGCTGCCTTTTTTTTTTTAACCAAAATTTTATTTCTTGAAAGTCCACTTCAAAGAAACAGTCTCTGCTAGAGGACTCTGGTAGCCTTGGGATTAAAGGCTACTCTGGGTGTCCTTGTTGAAGATAAGACTCAGCACCCACCTGCCACCCTGCTGAGCCAGGTACATGAGCCACGCACCCCATCTGCAACCAGGGTGACTCTGATTTTCCTGTTCTCTCCTCTTGCCACAGGCGCTGCACAGAGAGCAGAGGGAGCTGCTGGCTGTGCTGAAGGAGCCAGAGTGAGGAGACAGCCAAGCCCAGGAGCACAGGGCAGTCAAGGTCAAGGGCCTGTGGTCCAGGATGAGCTGCCTCTGAGAACAGCCAAAATGGTGCAGTCGCTAACAATGATGACTGTGCTGGGGAGCGAGTGGAGGCCCCACGCGCTGAACTTTTGAAGCCTCCTGGGTTTCAGACACACACACTACCTTCAGGTTCCCTGTTCCTGCTATGAAGATTGTTGGCAGCTCCCACTCAAGGATCACACTTTCTCCTCCATAGGGTCAGGCCGATACAGCTCAGTGCCTCGGCCTTGCCCTGCAGTTCCTGAGCCTGGCTTAGAGAATATGTTTTCAATCTCCACTGATTGCCCCCTTGCTGGCCAGCCTGAGCGCCTTCCATGATCTCCCCACATCCGTAAATAAACTTCCTCTACACTGTAATCTGTGAGGATGCTTCCTCCGCGAGGCCTGTCCCAGCCAGGACCATCCTGGGCTCCAAGTTGGGTTCACTTGAGGCCTCACTCACAGCTGTGAGTCCCTCCAGATGGGGTGCAGTGTGGACAGGAGGAAAGGCAGCAGGGTTCCTTGTCACAGGATCCAGGAACCCAGGTGCCCTGAGGTCAGGATGAGCTGCCCAGAGGGTGTCACTCTGCCCAACCCAGCCTTCTGGGATAAATCAGCAAGACCTGGGCTGGGGGTGCAGGTTCACACCCAGAGTAAGGTGGGCCCTCTGCTGCTCTCACCTCACTCCTACCCCGCCAGCCAAGCTCAGCGGGGCTCAGCTAAGTCAGTGTGGGTGCTCCTTCGGACCAGAGAGTGAAAGAGGGCTCCGCTGAGGACCAGGAACAGGACTTTTTTCTCTAGTGAGGGCCTCCCCGTAATCCTGTGGAGAGGAGCACTGGGGACAGACAGGAAGACATCAGGTGGCTCAGCTGCTCCCCCGTGCCCTTGGCCAATCGCTGGAAGCTGATGGCTCCATCCAGCCACGTGGAGGAGCTGCATCATCAAGTCATCTGGCCTCCCCTCCTGCGCAGCCAGTCCCAGGGGTGGGGGAAACGCTTTGAGTGCTTTGTTGGGATGGTCCTGGGCCCAGGTGGTCGAGTGAGGACATGAGTCAGACCAGGAAGGTACCAGGATGCCCTCCTCTCCGTCCCAGGATGACCCGAGGCAGTATCAACTTTGGCATGGGGGATAGCATTTTTTTAAGCTAGCATCTGTCCTTAAGAGGACAGCCCTTCTAGTCACTTGTGGGGCCTGTAAGGGTGATGTCCCCAAGGGGGTTAACTGTGCTCTCCAGCTCCCCTTCCTCCATAGGCCTGCCTCCTGCCACCACAGGCATGTAAAGGGGCCCCCACAGCACCTCACCTCCCTGTCCTGGGCCCACCCATGCCCACCTGGCTGGCACCACTTTGAAGGGTCACTCCACAGCCCCCTGGCCCGAGAGGTGGCCTCTCTCTCACCCAACCCCACCCCTGTCCACTTGGCCTTGGCTTCGTGCTGCCCCTGCCCTCTTCCTCGACTGGGTCTGGTTGCCACCAGGCTGGGAGGCCTCTGGGTGAGCGAGGGCATCGCTGGCGCTCCCTTCTGGGGTTTGGCACCTACCCATGGGCTGACCATGGAAATCACAGGTTTCAAGAGAGCTGGAGCTCTTAACATGTTTTAAACTTTGAGGCCCTCCCCCTTTGTCCTCAGGTTCCCCCTCTCACCTGCCCAAATAGTGCTTAGCCTTAGAAGAAGTAGAGTGGGGACCAGGTGCTGCCCCCTCAACCCCATGGTCTCAGGGGCCATGTTCAGGACCTGATGGCCTCGGATTGTAGCCCGCCTCCATTGTCACTCCCAGGCCTTGGTCACACTGCTCCAGCTCCTGACCACAACATCCTTTGGGGTTTGGCCTACAGAGCCAAGTGAATGACCTCCAAATAGCCCTGGCAGATCCCCCTGACCCGCCCTCACCATGGTCAGGCACACCCCACTCTCCCTTGCCTCTGGGGCACAGCTGGAGACTATAAATGGTCCCAGCGGCCAGCACAAAGCAGCTGAGTCCCACGAAGCAACCCCAACGCAGCCACTGACAGGCGCACCATGAGGCCCTCCATACTCCTGGCCCTGCTGGTCCTGGGTGCATTCTGCCTTGCTGGATGGATAGGTGAGTGCTCCCCTCCATCCAATTCCCGTGCTGGGGGGGCTTCCAGAGGCACCTCAGTCCCACCTTCCCTCACCCCATCTGCTAGCTGTCCCTTCTGCAGTCTAACCACCACCCTCCAGGCTCAACCCATTCTCCCACTTTCTGTCTGGCCTTGTGGGGGGAAGAGCCAGCTGCAGAGACAAGGAAAGGAGGCCAAGGGGCTTCTGGTGAGCAGGGGATGAATCTGTTTTCTCTCCTTGGCAGATGCAAAGCCCAGTGACACAGAGTCTGAGTCTGGCAGAAGTGCAGGTATGAGGACCCATTTCCCAGTGCCACCAACCCACCCTGGGCCCCCAGCCTGATTCCTTCCTTCTGCCTGTCTGGATATTGGGAAGGCCAGCCTGCTTCCCACATTGCTGAGCCCTGCCCAAACCCTAGAGTCACCTGACCCCTGCCTCTTACCCGCAGCCTTTTTGTCCAAACGTGAGGGCAATGAGATGGTGAGGAGACCCAGACGTCAAGTGGATCCAGGGCTGGGGTAAGTGAAGGGGTGCTGGGCTGATGGCAGGAGCGGGGAGTAGGGGAAGGGTGTGCCCCTGGCCTGGACTCCTCATGTGTATTGGGAAGGGGAAGCAGCTACTGGGGTGTTGGCATGAGAGGGTGATACTGACATGCTGGGGCTTCTTAGAGCCCCAGCTCCTGCCCCAGATCCCATGGAGCCCTTGAGAGAGGTGTGTGAGCTCAACCCGGACTGTGACGAGCTGGCCGACCAAATTGGCTTCCAGAATGCCTATCAGCGCTTTTACGGCACACATGCAGTTTAGGCCCTGACGTGCAGGCCCAGCGGGCCACCCTGGCTCCAGCTCCTCCCCATGATTCCTTCTCTCACACTGACCTCCCCATCCTGAAAATTGGGTGTCCCTGTACCCAAGCTCCTCCCAAAATAAACTTTAGAAGAATTGGTGGATCAATGACTCTGTCTAGTCTCTGGAGGCCAGTAGAGATGAGTATGTGGATGTGGCTTTATCTTCAATTCCAGAAAGTGCTTTTTAAAATCAGCTATTTATTTGTACCTGCCTTGTTCCAGAAAGCATTAAAGGTGACTTCCTAAAGGCTATTAGGGTTCCAGCCCAACGTGCCCTACTCTCCCATTCAGTTCCAAGTCATCCACAAAGCCTCAGACCCCAAGGACCGGGACACCTTGAAAACATGGTTGGAGACAGAATTCTCCCCAGGTGGTGACCAAGACAGGCAGACTTGTCTCACTAGGCAGCTAGCTGCGGGCAGGCGGACCCCACTGCCAGGCCTGGGGCGGAGGCAAGGTGTAGCCTTTGCACAGGTTAGCGCTATTCAGGGGGAGTGGTGTTAGTTCTTCCCTGGACTGAGCAGAGACTCCCAGGAGCACCAGATATGGAGCCAGATGATGTGGCCCGAGTACCCCCGTCCCAGCTTTGAACTGGGGAAGAAGCAGTTCTGGCTTGGACTTACATGCCGCTCCCCTCTCAGACCCTCAGCACATCCTGGCCCATCGAAAACCCCCTCACACACCACCCTCACACACTCGTGGCCAGCCTCCCCGGAGTCCCATCCTCTCTGCCTTCTCTCCTCTCCACTCGCTCCTCAGCCACTCTGGGGTCCAGGCCCGGATGTGCCCATGCTCAGTCAGCACTGCTAGGGCCTGGCCTCTGCCTCCTTCCAGGGCAGGGTCATGGGTGAGCTCACTGTTGTTTGGCCCTGGTGCCCCCCTCTGTTGGGCCACCCTGCAACAAGGGGCAGGACCCAGGGGCCCAAAGCAGGGAGGCTGTGAAGATGGCAACAATGAGTAGGTTCCCAGCTACTGCCAGGCTGACAGTAACCACCATGCCCACCAGGCCTAGGGTGGGTTCCTGCATAGCCAGCCAGGCTCGCCGTGACCCCATGTCAGCCAGCACGGCCTCCAACTGGAAGTGGGTGCCCAGCACAGCACAGATATGGAACAGCTGGTGGCTGTGGCCTGTGGGAGGGTGAGCTGGTCAGGACACTGCCCACGACTTCCCTGACTCACCTTATCACTGAAGTCCCTCGGCCCTTCCTCTGGGCCTGCCACTCCCCCCACTACATTGGAAAGCTGCTGCTCAGAATTGCTGAAGGGGCTAATAATCTGACATGCGGCTCCTAGCTTAGTAACCATCTGCCACTAGTCTTAGTGTTATTTGAACAGTGGGGGTGGGGAGTAGTCTTGGACCCCCAAGGGCCCTTCCAGACACCCTCTAGTCATTAGTTTCCATTCCTGTTTGCCTAGTACTCTATGCTTCTGGGAAGCTAGCTGTCTTCCCTCCTGCCCCTTGCTTGTCAGGCCAGGCTCTTACCAATGTAGTCAAAGCGTCCTGGTGCCAGGCGCTCAGGGAGGTGGGAAGTGAAGAGGAAACCAGTGAGCAGTGCGCAGAAGAGGTGGTAGATATGACTGGAGCTCAGCACCTCCTGCCCACAGTCATGGCCCCGGCCCCAGCACAGCCCGAGCTGGCAACAGGAGAGCAGGGCTGGGGAGAGGCTGTGGCAGTAGAAGCGGGTAGTCTGGGGTCTGGCAAGAATGCAGGTGGAAGTGGGCATAGCCGGGCTTGTGTGGGCTTGGAGAGCTGAGGCTAGAGATTGAGGAGCAGGATGGGGAGTGGCAGGGTGGGACAGCAGGAGCTCCCCCCACCAGCCTTACTCGATAGAACAGCGGGAGGTTGTCGAACAGGAAAGGGTAGGCGAAGGCTGCAGTGCGGAGGGCCTTACTGAGCCCAGGACTCTCGAGCTCGGGGAACCTGGGAGGTAGGAGAGAAAGGCAGACTGGCACCATTCCTGCGTTCCAGGTGGACATCAGAGAAGAGCAGGGGGACCTTTCAGCTTTGGGCCAAGATGAATGCCATCATATCTTAGTGGCTAAGAAGGCTCTTAGGGCACATTCCCCCCACTATAAATTATCACATCTTTAAGATGAGAATAAAGAGACTTTCCTCTTAGTTGACAGATTTAAGGGAGACACATAGGTCTGGCCCTAGTAGTACAGGGTCTAGCAAGGAAGTCTTCAATGAATGGTCCCATTTGTTCTTATTACTGATCAAGAGCCAGAGGCACAGACACAAAATAAGGAAACTCACCGGGAGTAGCAGGAGAGGCTGGTACACAGGAAGGAATTGAGTGCGGCGGTGGGCACAAAGAGCTGGTGCAGGCGGCTGTGCAGCCAGGAGGCCGGCATGGAGTAGGCGGCATAGGGGAAGGCGCAGCCTGCGGTCAGGTAGGGCGGGCGTTGCACCAGAGAAGCTCCTCCCCGCGCCGCGCCCCGCACGCCCTCCCGGCTCCCGCTCGGGCTCCCGCCCCGGCTCACCCAGGCTGTACAGGCTGAGCGCGCCGTAGTCCAGGAAGTAGCAGATGTGCCGTGCGCGCGGCGACATGGAGCTGAAGGTGTGCGCACAGCACGAAGCGAAGGGGTAGAGACAGGCAGGCAGCAGGAAGATGAGCAGCGGCCAGTGGTAGGGCTCCTCGCGGAAGGCCGGGCCACCGGCCAGTGCCAGGAGGCGCCACAGGAAGTACCTGCGGTGGGCACATGCTCAGGAGCAGGCGGCGCCCGCCTGCCTGGGACCCCCGCGGGGCTCATGGCTGCGGCCTGAGGCTGAGCCTACCCTCACCAGGTGGGTAGGAAGTGAGTCCAGATGTTGACCGTCTCGTTGGTCATCTGGAAGGAGCTGAGGACACAGTCCAAGGCTGAACTGGTGGGGTGGCGGTAGCCAGACATGATGCCATCTTCCCAGAACACCTAGGGTGGTAATAAGAGTGGGAGAGAGGAGAGTTACTGTGCCTAGAGCCGTTTCATTTATGAGGGATATCTGGAAGCAGGGTGGAAGAGGAAGAGCTGAAGTCACAGTGGACCGAAGACAAACTCAACAAACTAAACCAACTTAACACGGGCCCCAGTACCCAGAGAGCAAATGAGAAACTGGAGAAAATGCATAGTAAGGGACAAGAGAGGATGAAGTGTGTTGGGCTGTGGTGAACAGGTCAGAAAACAGAAATCTCACACTGGAGGAAACCTTAGCCTGCAGGAGGGACCTCCCCAAAAGCTATGTGATAGCCTGTAGTTTGTCCCCTGGAAACCAGGGCTGGTGGGTTGAGCCCTCACCCGGGGGACCTGGTGGACTTGCAGGAGTTGGGGCAGCTTGAGGCTGAGCATGGTGGCCTGGTGCCTCCACGGTGACCTGGAGAGAGTGGGGAGTGGGAGGTCAGTCTCTACCCCCACCTACAAGCCCTCATCACCCAGCTTCAGACAGGGCCTGGTAACAGCTCCAGGGGTCAGGCTATGTTATACACAAGTGTGCACTAAAGGTAGTTGGATGTTGACTGGCTTCCCTCAGGTCTGGGGCATGTGCCTGCCACTAGCCATCATAACCCTACCCCCCTCCCAGGCTGCTATTTCAAAGTTCCCCATCCTGGTCTTGTTAGGTTCAGCACCAGCACCCCTAGCTCCTATCCACTGACAGGAGCTGGTCTGCCTTAGCCAAGCATGAGCCCTTCCCAGCTACCAACCCCTGAACTCCAGTTCTAATTTCTGAGAATCCCAGCTTCTAGAGGCCTGCAGAGGAGTACCCAAGTACTCCCACCTCCCACCAGAAAGCTGAGCTCCCAGTGCCTGGGCTGAACACAGAAAACTCCCAGTCCTCAGGAACATTCCTGGAGAAGCCGAAGGCTTGCCAGAGGCCAGGCAGGGGGATGCTGGCCGCCTCTGAGCATCACTGTGCCCCTGAGGGGCATTTAAGGTAGGCCCTACCCTCCCAAACCCCACGCCCTTCAGCCCCCAGACCTGTGTGCTGCCTCCGGTGGTGGCCTGGACCCACAGCTCTGCTCCCCCCCTCCACCTCTCTGGATGCCTCTCCCAGGCACATTCTTTGGCACAAGTGGAGGGGCTGGGCCAGTCCAGAGGGTGAAGGAGGGAGAACGGGACACTCCTTCTGACCCCACCTTCCCAAGCTAAAACTTTTGGGCAACTGCAGTCTAGCCCCACCCTCCCACATGCTATTGCTGCCTGCTTTCCCCTCGTGTTTATGCTGACACACTATCCCCACACTGAGGCTGGTTCTCCAGGCTTTTGTTCTCTGCCATTCAGAAGTTTAGAAACCCTCTGGGCCCGAGACGGGTGCTGTGTCCCAGATTCCTGCACTTCAGGGGTTTCTAAGTTGGATGAGTGCCTTCCAAGGTATCCCCCACCCCCAGCCATTGTTCTGGTTTATCCTCAAGTGCTGTCTAATCTAGAGAAGAGATACTGGGTGCTTAACTCCCCTTAGTCCCATTCCTCAGCAGCAGGGTTGCACTCCTGGAGTAGTCTGAGGTGTGGTCTGTTACCATACAAATAGGGAGCAGCAGGAGCAAAAGAGGGACCAGATTCCCCAGAATAGGGAGGCTCAGAGCCTCTGAGGTGAGCTGTCTTACCCTGAGCTTGAGGGGTGCTCCTAAGCCGGTGGGTCTGCAGGCCCTAGCTCCACAGGCAGAGTCCCAGGCTCCTGCCAGCCAGGCTGAGGAGGGGAGAGCAGCCAGGCAGGCAGGCCAGGCCTGGGCGGGGAGTGGGGGGACAAAGGGGAACCAGAGAACAATTCCAGCCTTGTCAGCTTCCAGAGAGCAGCACAGGGTGGCCCAGCCCATTAGCAGGCAGCTCACTCGGCCTCCAGCACACAGCCAGCCCCTCCAGCTTGATTCAATCCTGTTATATCAGGCTGTATAGACCACACCAGCCCAGGACCTGAATGATGGACTTCACCAACCCTCAGGCCAGGCTGCACCCCTTTTCAGGTTCTTCCCATGGGTTGACAGCAGCTGGGCTGGGCAGAGAAATCCACACTCCTGTGAATCATCCCTAGACTTCAAACACCAGCTCCCATTTTCTGGCCTCAGAGCACCTTGATAGTGACCAAAGTTCATGAGGCAAATGCCTTCAGCAAATGTTTCAACCATGAGGGACTCGTAAAGCACACTAACCCCTTCATCAGTTTGTAGAGAGGTGCGTTCCAAGGCTTAAGTCCAGGTCCCCTGAGGAAATTCTTCCCCAGGTCAAGCCAGAGACAGCTTATTTCCCAAGGAACCACCCCACACAGCAAAACGCCTTCACCAGCTTCTGGCTCTTGGCACACTCCGTCACACAACCCTCACCCAGTCATCATTCTTTACTGTGAAACCATCTCAGTGCAGGGTCAGATGCACTTCAGGACTCATGAAGCCGCCTCCAGGGTTTGCCTCTTGCTATGTCCCATGCACCTCCTACACATCTTCCCAATGGCACTGCAGCACATCATTCCCACTGTGCCCTCTGGTGAGACTTGTGTAAACAAAGGAACGGTGACCCGGGAGCAGGCTTGGGGGATCTTTATTAAATGCTTGTCTCAGACTCTGCCAGGGACTGGGTGACTCCACCCTCCCCTAGGTTTTCCCAGACTTGCTGTTATGAGGAAGCAGGGAGCCCAGTCTCCTCAAGTACAGCTAGGGAAGCTAGGCTAGGCCCAGCAAGAAGGGGCAGAGCTGATGTTCCCCTCCCCTGCATCCTTCCAGCCTGAGGGGGAGGGGCCTACAGCAACTCTGGCCCACACCTCCCACTGCCCAGCTCTTGGGGCTCCACTCACAGCCCTGAGCTATTCATGATCTCTGTCCCCCCTTCTCCCACATTTACCTCGACACCCCATGCTCAGCCCCACCAGATCATCAGTCCAGAGGAAGGGCAAAAACAGGGAAGCCCACCAAGAGTTCCTGACCAGGTAGCTTCAAGGGGCCTCTTCTCTCTGCTGTCTACCTGGATACAGGTCCCTAGCCTCAGCTCCCCCAAGACTCTGAGCAAAGCCCTCCTTAGGTAGATAGCAAGGGGTTGGTGGCCTCTGGCTGCACCTCATCGATTTTCTTTACTTGCAACCAACTCCTTTCTCAGCACAACAGCCAAGAGCACAAAGCACAGCTTGCTCTCTGCCCTGGGAGCCAGGCTGAGAGAAAGAGGCTGCTGCAGGGCCCCCGTGCAGCGCCGGGGAGGGGACAGAAGCTGGGCCTGCTGCTCGCACAGGCCTCCGGCCTTCTGAGGAGAGCCCCTGGCTCCAGAGCTGCCCAGCCCCCACAAAGGTTGATGACAGAGGCTGGGTGGTCCTTGAGGAGGGGAATGGTCTTCAGAGAACCACCCAGGCATCTTGTATTTCCTAACTCTCCCCCAGCCCCAGAGCCTAATGTCCAAACTTCTGGCCCCACCAGCCTGGATCTTGGGTGAGGAAGAAGGTCCCTTCTGCTCTTCCTTCCCCTCGGAGGTCCAGGAACCACTCCAATATAATGAAGACGCCCACCTGCCTGCCACCTGCCCTTGGGACAGCAGGAGGCTGAGGCAGGAAGGCTGGCCTAGGGCCCACAGGCCTTGCCTGCTCCAAGCACTTTCCCTGCTTTCCTGACATCGGCTTGGCAACAGGGGACCCTGCCCTCCCCGCTGGCTCCTGGGCCCTCCCTGCAGCCCATGTGCGGCTGGGCTTCCCTCCTGTGTGCGTGCGTGCATCTGCATGTGGTGGGTGACTACAGGTGGTGGTCCTGGCTGCCAGGGAGGGCAGGAGAGATCTGGAGTCAGCCCCACTGCAGGGCCTGGGAGTCAGTTTCAGCCAATCTCTTTCCACTGCTTGTAGAAATCCAGAACATTCTTGATGTCCACACTGGCATGGGCAGCAGCCTGCAGAGCTGCCTGTAGAATGGAGAGATGAAATATGAAGGGGCCTGGCCTCCTGAACAAGGTGTCAAGGGACTGGAGGAAGGCTGATGGGAGGAGAGCTCTACAGGGAGAATGGGGGACAGAGTCTAATCTAGTGCTTCCCCATCTCCCACCTCGCACACTCCAAACCAAACAGAGTCCATCCTGCAACCCACCTGCATGGGACCCGAAAGCGTGCTGGGGTTGTCCAGTGGGAGGCCAGTGACAATGGTTACCATGCCGCTTGGGTCCTCCTCACCTGCCCCTTGGGTCAGAGTTAGCTGTTTGCAGCTGTCCAGGATCTTATAGAGTGCCCTGAAAACAAGAGGCACAGTCTAAGACCCAGTGTCAGCCCAGCCTGTACATACATCTCCAGGGAGGGCTGGAGGCTGGGAGGGGAACCTGGGGTAGTGGGTGCTGGAAGCAGGCCCTGGAGCACTGTGGGACAACAGACTCAAGCATGGCAGGGCAGGGGGCCGAGGCTTCTGTAGAGGAAGGGGCCTGGGTTCTGAAACCTCTCACTCACTTCAGGGTGACACCTGCAGGAGGCTGAGAGAGAACCTGGGACAGAATTCTCTGACACTGACCCAAACCACTGGGTGGTGCTCATGGGAGAGGCAAGGTGGGCAGTAACAGGCTGCAGGAGTGAAGGTGAAGTTTTACCAGGCATCTGCGTCCTGCCTCTTCAGCTTATGCCGTTCAAAGCTCTTTCCCACCTCTTTCTGGCAGCGAATGTATCTGCAAAGGAGATGGGAGAGTGGAGGCTGGGGGAAGAGGACGGGGGTGCAATATACAATGCAAGCCATTGTGGCTCTGGGGGCCCTGTTTTGCAGGAGGGGGCAGGGGCCCATCTCTCCCATCACAGGTCTGTTTGGAGCCATTTGAAGCTGCTTCCTGGCCACTGGCCCTGCTCACTTTTCCTCCTGATAATATCACTTCTTTGGTTCCTCCTGGCGGGGGGGGGGGGAAGCTCTGGGAGGGGAGAAGTAACAGATGCTTTTTAAGTCAGGGCTTCTGCAGTCAAGGTCCAAACAAGCAGGCTTTGTGTGGCTTCCTGGCCCGGGCTGATGCAGAGGGCGGACCAGGCCAGTCAGCGGGGAGGGAAACAGGCTCCTGCTCCATAACCCACTGCATAGTCCTCACAGGCCAGGAAGAAGAGAGGAGGGCCAGACACCTGCATTTGCTCGTCCCTGAGAAGTCTGAGCCTCCTTGCAGCCTCCACTCAGTGGAGGTACAAGCCCCAACTGGGAGACTTGATGGCCTGACCAAGCCCCAAAGCAGGAGATTCTCTCCCTGAAAACATAACCCATAACTTGGGCTGGGCGTGTGTGTTTGTGTGTTTCTCAGAGAATGTTGGTCACATGGGGCTCTAGGGACCAGGAAGTCAGTGTTTCTCCCACAGGGCTCCTGGCTCCCTGTGGTCACCCTCTTATGTCGGCACCTAAGGAACCATGACTTACAGAATGTTTGCCGTGTGGGACACACTTGGCACAGGTCCAGCCAGGCTCTCTCACCTGTTTCCTTTCTTAAATTCTGCCTCCAAGTAGCGGATCCCATCCCGGGCCCCGGGGTGTTCTTTCTTCAGCAGATCCAATCCATCAATCACTGGCGGGCAAGAGGGAGCCAGAGGACAAAATAGATGAGCTCAGGCTGCCACAGCAGGGACCCTGCAGGAAGTACCTGTGTGCACCCCAGTCATCTGCAGGACGGAAGGACCACAGAACCTGTCCACAACATGACCTCTCCCACCAATATAAGGGCCATTTACCAAATTTTATTTACATAGATTTTCTCATCTGTTTATCCTCAATGATCTTATGAGGCAAGGCAATACAGCATTTGTTACATACAATTCCAGGTGAAGTGACAGGTTCTGAGAGGCAGCAGAACTTGTATACAAACTGTGTCCCACATGTAGGTCTCTCAAACCCATTCTGAGTCTCTTTGTGTTATACTCCATCTGTCTCCCCCACTCCTCAAAATGCTCACCAGTCCTTGGGATGATGACAATAAAGCGGCCACTGGTGGCCAGTTGTCGGATGATAGGGAGGTGGTGGCAGAGAGCCTGGGTGTCGGGGACAAGGTAGGGAGACATGGCTGACTGGGCCTTGGGCTGCTGCAGGCTGCCCTCCAGCTGGGAGACCTCGAGCTGGTGAGAGAAAGCAGATGCTACAGTCTGGCAGGGAGGAGTGGGACTTTTGGGGGTTCTTCTGGCCTCCTTCTCTTGCTAAGGGGAGCAAGGGGCTCTTCCTACCAGTGACTTAGTGAAATGTAGAAAGAAACGAAGGAAAAAGAGATGCAAGTGAAGGCATCAGGACTCTGTTAATGAGGCTAAGGGAGGCAGTCTGTGAGGCCAGAAAGAGTGAGAGAACCTGATGTGGAGGGCCAAGTGGACAGAGCAGGAAGACTGCAGCCAAGGGCTGCCAAAGGGGGTCAAGGACTGACCCAATCAGGAGGAACATGTGAGCCTCAACTCCCTACCTGGAGCCGGAGCTGGGCCATGTCTCTCATGAGCCTGTTGCGTCGAGCTTCCTCCTGTGCCTAGAGGGTGGGGACAGGGAGATAAAGAAGGTATAAGTGTAGGGTGAGGAGCTGAGTATTTATTTCCCAGTGACCAAAACAGTCAAGAAGATCTGCAGTCTAATCTAAGTATGGCCTCACAGTCACCTGTCATTCTTGCTAAATTTGGGGGAGGGTAGGTATGGAAGTAACAACAGTCCTCTGAACAACCTGAACCCCCATTACTCATCTATTAAAGGTGAGAACTACTCCAGGCACCCTGGGAGAGTGGAAGCAGAGTCACCATGCTGGCCACCGTGCTGTGCCACGACATTCCCCAGCTAAGTCACCCTCACTGTCTACCCCTTCAACAATGGATGTATCATCCTCATGTCTCTGCTCCTTACAGTTCACACTCTCCTCCCATGGGCTACAGCACGCACATCCCCAGCTCTATCGCCATCCACAGCCACCACCTTCTAAATCTGCTGCAACAAACAGCTCCATCCACTAAGACACCAGGGTCATACCTTCCCTACCAGACACTGACACCCAAACTGCTGGTGCCACTATGCCCAGGAGGACAACATACACAGAGCTGTACAGGCCCCACTATGGACCCCAGATTCTTTTT